ATAGAATGTTTTCACTAAAAAAAGAGAATAGTCTTATACAGCTAATTTTTCTATTTTGCCATCAAATCAATATTGTTATATTCCCCAGTCTTTTTTAATATGTTATATTTTCATTTTGTACTGCAAATGTTGTGGATTTAATCACACTGTGAGTCTTATTTCACTTCCTGCTATTTTTTTTATGTTATATTTTATAGTCATACTTTTAGTTACAGATATAAAAAGATCTGATACTGTATTCTGCATTTGGATACTGAAAATATTATTGAAAATTTTATAGAGATGCAATAAATAAATGAATACATACATATAAGGGTAATCTTGCTCTATACAAATGTCATGTGAATGTTCTACACATTTGTAAAACATTCTTCTGACACCAGGAAATCTATAGATTTTATCATTGGTAGCCACTAGGGCCATGAGTAATAGGAACCTTATCCCAACACAACTGCATTTGCTCCAGATGGGAGAATGGCTATTCTGAAATGTTTTTAAACCTCAAGATAAGGATAACAATTAAAAAGTGCATAACAAATAATGTATTTAATAATATAATATTTAATAATAAACAGTGCTCTAGATATGTAGGATTAGTCTTCTTCATCTTCCGCTCCCTCTTCTGAACATCTGTAGATACAAACAGAATAAAAGATGATGTTACAATGTGCTTTTAAAACTACACAGTCTTCTAATCAGGCTGTTCGACCTTTGTCAAGCTATTATTATTATAATAGATCCAGTATCCTTAATCTCAGCTGCTTCTAAAGTAATATCCATATACTGAGTTGCCGGGGTTTTTTTCTGAGAAGAGTAAGAATTTCAGTACTTTTTTATAAACAAGTTTTATTAATTTTCAGTTTTACATCCAAGTGTTTAGGAAGCAGCGTGGTGATTGGGCAATTAATAGTCCAATAACAGGCTCTTTCGTACATGTCTCAGGCTACATCATCAAAGATTCCCTTCTCTCTTTCCCTTGATTATTACATCGCATTCAAATTAATACATTTCTAAGTATAGCTCAATCAATTAAAACACTTATCAATATATTTTAAGTTATACATATATAACTTAATTTTCATTTCCCTTATAAATCTAAGCCCTAAATATTAAAGGCCACCTGAAGAGACTAGAAGCATTTGAAATGTGGACTTACAGGCTGTTACATATAAGCTGGGTTGATTAGATCAGAAATGAGGTGATAAGCCGCCTAGGAAGCCAAGGGAAATCATCAAAATGATTAAAAACCGAAAATTAAAATATTTGGGACATGTGATGTGACACCCAGAAAAATACAGCATACTCCATTTAATCCACCAGGGAAAGATTGAAGGCAAATGAGATCCAGGCAGAAGAAGAACATCATGGCTTCAAAATTTAGGGGACTGGTTTGGACAAAACTTAGTAGCACTTTTTCGTGTGGCTGCTGATAAAAACAGGATCGCCAACATCCGATAACAAATATGGCACAAGAAGAAGAAAATATTAAATCAATTAATATCTTTTTAGAGTCTTTTAAGTTATACTGTTCAATTATGCCTGTTAGACTAAAGAAGTTTCAAGCATGACAAGATGTGTAAGATAGTATACCACAAACTGTTTAACTCATGCCAGAGTTTCCCATGAGAAGATTCATTTTCTCTTTGCAAAATTATTCATAGAATATGAAGGCCCATTGTACTGTAATTTTCTTGAATTTGAAGTTTCAAATTAAACTTGAAAGTTTCAATTCACTGTTTCAAATAATGTGTATAAAGAAAACTTTGTATTCAGTGATTCCCATAACAGTTTGGGTTTTTTTGTGTTCTTTAATTATTATGTCTAACTGCTATTTATCATTTCTCAATGTTATTTAATCTTTTCTCCATTGAAAGAAAATGAAAGGCCTTTGCTCTTCCCTTTATTTGATATTCCCTCATATTTGATATGACTTCTGAAAATGTGACCAGTATTTCTAATATTTAAATTTATTTGATTTTTGTACTGTAATTTATCTTCAGATCATATACATATTTTTCTAAAAAAATCAACCTCCCTCCCACATTCTTGCTAACAATTTTCTCTCCTCAAATATCTACAATAACAATGCCTATTTATCCACAACTAATATTGATTAAATGAAGGGTGGAGTGGGAAATGCGACTGGTCTGAGGGCAAATTTAGCCCTCCACATATCCTGGAGGGCATGAAAGTGGGACATAATGTAATACTATCGAAAGTATCTTAAATCCCACCACCTTACTTCATCTGTTTTCTCTGGCTTGGAAAATCTAATATCTGTAGTTCTCAGTCAAGAGTGAGATCAGCAGGCTTGCTGGGGAGAGAGTCAGTGGTGGGATTCAATCAGTTTGCACCACTTTGGCAGAACTGGTAGCTAATTTTTTTGTTGCCTGGGCCCAGAATGGACGTCCAGAAGCGGTATCCACACAGAAAACCGGTTGTTCACTATTTGAATCCCACCACTGGAGAGATTCCTCTGCTGTGAAGGAGTATATGTATATGGACAGTTACTAACCTGTCACCTGGTCTGGGCATTGTGATTGATGCTTTGGCAGCACCTAGCCAGCTTGATTTCACAAAGCTGAACAAGTTTGGGTTTAGCTAGGACTAGGATGAGGGATACAGGAAATCTGAGAGCTACAGATTAGACTGGGAAACTTTAAAAATCTAAAACAAGCAAATCATTAAACCATTATAACCCCCCCCCCAAACCCTCCAAACTAGTCCTGGGAAAAAGCAGTGGCAAACCACTTCCATATTTTTTTACATAAGTTAAATAAGAAAGGTCTTAGAATACATTAAAACTTTTTTTATTAGAAACAATGGGCTTTCAATGCTTTGTGGGATTCTAAGACACATATCTTTCTTGACTACTGGGATTTGCATAATTTGGAGCCTAAAATGACAAGTTTACTTGAGAAAATATATAACTTTCAGAAGTCTACATTATAATAGAAAATTCAGCAGAATAGAGAACAACATTAAGGAGATGCAACCATTTTTTCAATTATGGTTAGATTTCAGCTTTATAAGAAAGAGGAACAGAGAACAATAGAAAAGTAAGACCTTTCATAAGAATTTTGAATTGTAGACCAGGAAATTTATTGACAGGATCATAACCATAAAAAGAAAACTGGATAGGTTTGATTGTGGGAGGAGAGCTTTCTTTACAAAACCTACACTTGTTATAGGCAGCAGCAGGGCTGAAAGTTAGCAGCAGAGAAACAGTAATGGAAGGGACATATTTTTATTGCAATTTCATTATTAAATTTTCTTTAATCAATCAGATCAGACTGCATCTTTGTGGCCTTTATTTAATTTCCTTCTGCCTTTGTTAATCCTGAGTAACACACTTTCTTATCAACAATGAAAGGATTGGTAAAGAGGGGTTTTGTTTAGGGGTAGGAATAGTTCCTCCGGGTCTAACAGAATTATGTAAAGTGGGAACTGAACCTGGTCACTGTCACTTTTGCAAGATCAGGGGGAAATGTCCTGGAATAAGCTCTTAACTCATTTTAGCCATAACATGCATTGATTAGAATACAGCATAGTCCCTAAATACTGATAGAAATCTAGCTTAATCAATATTCAGAGTCTGAATACTGGGTGAGATGGGCAGCTGTATAAATGTTACAAATATTTCAATAGCTGGGGTTAAAAAATAACCAAAGATTCAAGACTTAAAAATTAAGTTCCTAAGCAAAAGTACAGCTTAGTACAATCATTGTGAATGTAAAATAATATGGAAGAAGCTGAGAATGGCGACACTCGCACAAGTGGGCTGTGCAGACATGCGCGCACCAGCCAGCCACCCATGTGGCCTGGTGGCTAATAGGCAGTGGCCCAGTAGTGGGCTACGGTCTACAGGTTGGGGACCCCTGTTCTACTTCAATCCCTTGCTCATGACAGGTAACCTTATATTATTTCAGACAAATGGTTGTCCAATCTTTTCTTGAAAATCTCCAGCAATGGTACACCTATAACTCTGAGAGAAAGTTGTTCCATTGGTTGTTCTCACTGACAGAAAATTTATCCTTAGTTCCAGATTGGATCTTACTTTAAGAAGCTTCCATAAATTGCTTCTTGTCCTACCCTCAGAAAATTTGGAGAATAGGCCGACCCCATCTCTATTCTTTGGAGAATAGGCCGACCCCAGCTATCATGTCACCTCTAATTCTTCTCCTTGTTAACTAAATATATCTATTTTTCTTAACTGTTCATTATACAATTTAGCTTCCAGACCCCTTATCATCTTTATTGATCTTCTCTTCACTCAGACCTCAGCATCTTTTTGTATCATCTTCTACTCACTTGTGCAGTATAAAGTAGTATTATGATTCTCACAATCCTGATATTATCCTTCCATTGATGCAATTTAGGACTGCATTGGCTTTTTTGACAGCTACAGCATACTGGTGGCTTATATTTAAGTGGTGATCTGACTAGGACACCTACATCCATCTCATAGTTAATACTGTTGAGCCAGGTACCACCTATTCAGTAGCTGTGCATTTTATTTTTCCTGTCTAAGAGCAGAATCTAACTTTTGTCAGCAATTCCCCTCAACTTGGTGTCATCTGTAAATTTGACAAGGTCTTTTTCTATCTCATCTAGTTTATGAAGATACTGAAGAGCAGTAAATTAGTGGATCAAGGAAATATAGTATATATTTATACTGCATACTATATAGCATACTTAGACTTCCATAAAGCATTTGATAAAGTAAACAACAGCCTACTTCTTGATAAGGTAGAACAATGTAGGATAGACAGTACAGCACTAGATGGATTTGCAGTTGGCTAACCAACTGCACTCAGCACATAGTCCTCAATGGAACTACATCTATGTAGAGGGAAGCATGCAGTGCGGTATTTTAATATTCTGGTTTGGGCCCATTGCTCTTCAGTATCTTCATAAACAAACTAGATGAGGAGACAGAAAAAAATCTTGTCAAATTTGCAGATGACACTAAGTTGAGAGGAATTGCTGACAAAAGTTAGATTCTGACCCAGTAAGCAAAAGAATGCCAAACCATAAATAAGAAATGAACAAAAATACATACAAGAGTTTCTATGAAATTAGATACAAATATCACATTTACTCATTTTTGAAATTTTAATTGTTTTCAACAAGTGAAAGAATAACTAATAAAAATGATGTACATGGTTCACAACAGAAAGGAATGCTAGGAAGGAGATGATAAAAAGTAGATGTATAAGCCAAATGAACAGATTAAAAAGGAACGTATATACTGTAGACGATGAATGCATTGCCTTCAGAAGTTAACAATTTATGGGTTAAATAAAATAGAATAGGATCAGCAATATATATCAGCTATTAGAAAGGAAAAGGGGAGAGCTGGACATTTAAAAACTAGCAAAAGTTCAACCTAATTTTTATTATTAAAGCATAAGTATTATCAATTTGATAATTCAAGGTAAATACATTTAAAATATTATTTGTAAAATTAATATTAATAGTCATATAGTTATCAACAATAAACAGCTTGAATTTTTCAAAAGGATTATACATTTCTACATATTCAATAGGATAAAGGTAACATACATTTTGTATGATTAACTCTTCCAGAACTATCTGTAATAGATGCCCAATGTTTAGATTTCTTGTTCAGTAGTTCTTGAAATTTGCAAAAGGATATAAAATGGAAAAATCCACAGATCCAGAGGATTTATGAATTGGCAAACACTTTGAAAATCAGATGTGTTTTTATCAATTTCTAAACAAAAGTTGAATATGTGAGAAAAGATACACCTTTCTGGAAGGAACTATCCAAAGAAATATTATAACTAAACAAAGAGTAGAATATGTCTCAGAATACTATTATTACATACTTTCAAAGGAGAAAATATTAAATTACATAATAAGGACTTATTTAGTAACTAAAATAATTAGTTAACAGTGGATGTCGGTAGACAATTTAGCAACTGAGAAACAAATGCCTTCCTTCCAAAAGCTATTGATAAAATTCAAATACTAAGTTCACAGGACTTTCTACTTTTATCAAGTCTGAATGGTTACATACACAGCTGTAGGTTTGGCAAATCTAGAGATTTATGGCAACCATGAAAGAATTTTGATTTATGTTGTAAATGGATTTGTTTTAAAAAATAATTTATATGGCCACCTAAGAGACTGTGATTCTGATTCTGAGGTGACATACAAATATTAATATTATATTAGCTAAAATACTGGCTCAAGCGCATTTTTGGATGAGATTCACTTTTTCACGCAAAAATAAAGGTTTTTGTTCCTTTTTTGTCCTCCAAATTGTTTTGCTCACCATTGAATTTCATGTACCAATTGATTACATCTACTTCTTTCAACTATTTGTTTTTCTTCTACTAGATAAATTAGATTAGGATTATTAACCAATGGTTGACAGTTCATTCTACAAATTTAAGTTATTGCTGTAATCACAATGTCATATCGCATCAATTATGTCCACTGTGGGCAAAATCCTTTGGGACATGACATTTTGATACCATAAAAAGAAACAAGAGTTAAAATCAAATTTTATCCTAGTTTATTGCTTGCCCAGTTCTGTTTATGATGGCCTGAAAAAAAGCCTGATGTTAAACAAAAAATTCAGGGTTGCAACAGACCTACCATTTCACATTTCATGTATCCACCTTTCATTACTCTCAAATACATATTTAGAATTCTAGGCTAGGAAGGGATTTGGAAAGATTTACAGGGTTAGGTGGTGGTGAAGGACAATTAAAAAAGGCAGTGATGGGGGAGGGGGACAGGCAAGTGGGGAGAGTTGAAGCAGAGATGACTGAGGCAGAGGAAAAGTGTGAGGACATCACTTAACAAAGATGCAGTCTTTGCCTAATGACCATAACCAATCTCCTTGGTGAGAGAAATTCTGGTTCCTGTTTGGATCTTTGAGTGAGTCTGACAACAATACAATTTGAATTGCTGTCAGAAGCTACTGGACTTAATTGGAATTGACTTATTGTAAAATTTGTAACATCCTTTTCTTCAATTAGTGTATTCACATCCTGTTTCTCCATTTTCTTTTTCTTTAATGGATGTTTTTATTTTGCACTACATTACTATGATATGTGACCAATAAATGTTATTTTAAGCTGCTGGTCTAAGGCTTCAATAAAGTTTTATCTGTCTAGGCCCCCAATTTTAAGATGTGTAGTCTTTGACTCCAGTTGTGGGATTCAAATGTGTGAACAACCGGTTCTCTGTGTGGATGCCACTTTTAGAAGTCCATTCTGGGCCTGGGCAACAAAAAAAATTAGCTATTAGTTCTGCCAAACTGGTACGAGCTGGCAGAATCCCACCACTGATCCACTCCAAGAATTCCCTAGCCTGCAGTTATACTATCTCCTCTACAATCCATGTTCCCTCCCAATAACAATATATATAGCTTTTTAATAACAAAACGTATATAAATCTGACGAATAGTTTCTATACACGTGATAAAAGTTCTCCGATATAGGCCATTCTTCTTGATAAAAGGGAAGTTTAAATTTTATCTCCAAATTTGCTATTGGTTTCCTTTTCCAGTCCAAATCTGGCTTCCGCGTGCAGAAATTATGCATTCCATTCAGACATTTTGCCATTTGGAACACTCAAAGCCTCCCATTTTCCCGCAGGAAACAGTTGATACGAGAAAAATCAATGCCTGTTTTTTAAAAAAGACTTCTGTGGGATGCCAGGGGAGGCAATCCGGGTGGATAAGAAAAAAAATGATAATACCAGGTCGCAATTGCGCAAAGCCCACAGTAACACCACCAGAACGCTCGGCTTTCGTTTTCATCACAATGAGCAGCGTTAACTCAACCCGGAAGCTAAGCCTTTGTTTTCGATCTGGAAGCGTCTGAAGGATCTGAGGTCACGTCTCGTTTCCTGTTTGGGGTCGGAGGTCGGCGATTTCTTCTATTCTCTATGGCCGGTGCCCGGGCGCTGGGTGAAAGTGGCAGGGGTGGTGTAGCCGCCATGGACTATTCAGTACACGAGGCTTGGAACGAAGCCACCAACATTTACTTACTGGCGGTGCTGGCCAGCTTGGCCCTGTTGGTGTACGCCCGCAGGTGGGAATCTCAATAGGGAAGGAAGTGACTCCTACAACTGCTATTTGTAGATTGTTTAAGAATACGTAAGCGTCTTAACCCGGTAGATCATTACACTTTTCTGCCCAATGTAGATGCGAAGGCCAAGAGAAACCACTTTTTGCTGAATTCTGATTGGCAAATTAGGCTTTCTAATTCACGGTTTATCGAGTATTGGGCTGCTTTTCCTAGATAATTCCTAGATAATAGATCTTAGTGGAAATTTGTGATATTGCCAAAGTTTCTGGCAATAACGTTACAAACTTTCAGGTCATATGGCTAGGCTTGCAAATGCTGGCTGTTGCATCAGCAATTGGTTATCTCGAGATTTAGGTCCAAGCTTCTAGGCTAATAGTTACAAACTTTAACAGCTCTGGAAGTGGCAACAAAACAGGAACTTCTGTGAATAAAATAAGATTTATTTATTTAGGGATTTGAAGAAAGGATGTCAGAGAGAAATATGTTCTGTTCATAGAATATGCCTACCTATTTTGGTTCTGTCTCAGCACTTCACATCTCACCATCTAGTATTAAGCAACCCCTTTCTATCGGTGCATTTTTATGAGGATGATGACTAATTTTTATTCAAATAAATGTCCCAAAGTTGCTTTTTCAAAAGGCAACTGGACTTTCTTTGTTTTTGCTTGAAGACATTTTGCTTCTCATCCAAGAAGCTTCTTCAGTTCTGCTGAAGCATCATTGGGACAATCACGACCTGGATGATTGAGAATCTTCATAGATATGTTCAATAAGTGTTTATTATGAGTATTGTATGACTGTTTTCAATTGTTGAATTAGTTGCTGCCTAAGAGTTCAGAGTTTTGCAACTTTCCTTATTTTTTTCAGTAGCTAATAATTGCCTTTTCAATAAGTTAGGATAAGTGTGGTTTAGCTAATATTAAAAACAAACTTCATAAAAATAAAAACTCATCATTATTGCTATTGTGTTAAAAAATCACTTTGAAAGAAACTATACCTTTATCAATAACAGAAACATCTGCAAGCAGAATGGCAAGAAGATGAAATAATAAGCTGTTAAATATCTATTTCAGCCAGATTTTTAAAATACTTCATCTTATCTAGCTGCAATCTGATAAAATCTAATTAATATTGATCCCTCACTGAGTATTAGAATAAAGAATAAATTGTGTGCATGAAAGACTTAGGACAATTAGGGACATGTGAAATTTGCATTGGATAGTTCTTAATTTACAAACTCTGTTTCTGAAACACTTACTGTATATTAGCTCTTTTGAAAAGTCTCAGATACTAGCTATTTGAATATCAGTTAAAGAAGCAGACATTTCCTTGCTGTAATTGAAAAACTTTGCAGGACTGATCTGTACACTGACTGATCTGTACAAGCTGATATAGCTAATTTACACTGGCTTTCATATCCATGCTAAGTATAACATCTAAATACTGAACCTATGCATTTTACATTTAGGTGAACATACAGGCTCTTCACAGGACATAAATGTCTGTTAGAGGCCTTTGCATGAAATATGATATTAGAATGCAGTGAACAGGAAGCCTTTCTATTATGTGACATTTAAACATTCATAGCCTAATTTCTTTCAGTGATGGTAACATTTGTTTTTTCAGGAAATTGGAGATAATCATTGCCACTTCTAATTGAAATTCCAATTGTATTTCTATTCCTTTGCTGTAGAAATTAAGACAGGTTGCTAATTTCATTTACCATTAAGGGAAACATCTGCTTTTGTATTACTTATGTTTTTTTATTCCTTTTGGGCTTCAGAAATAAGAGGAAGATTATGAGGATTTTTACATTACCTCCAACTGTAGAAATATCTGAACCAAATTTTTATGACAGCATGAAAAAAGTCCGTCTTCGGCAGCAATTAGAGATGTATTCTATTGGTAAGTAAAATATATTTACTTTGAGACTATTAAAGTTTGGGTAACCTATAGATCCTATTTTTTTAAAAAAAATGGAATTTGATACTAAATATATACAATGAAACATAAATCTGACTCCTAACATTTGCACAATTATTACTATTATTCTCAATGTAAAAATATTTAATGCTCCAGGGTTGTGATTGTTCTGCTCCTCTACTCATGGAACTATAATGTGTATGGCTCATGGAGGTAATGAAATCTATTAGATTGCAGGCTTGCTAATGATCCTTGATCCATACTCTACATTTTACACTGATCAGAAATGCACAGTAGCACAGTTGAATCTTCATGTGTTTCTCATGCTTTTCTTCCTATTCTGTTTATTTGCAGAATTGGGATAGTATTCTTCCTTATAACATGGTTCTGAGAAATGGATGTTAAAATGTGATCAGACAGAAAGATCTCTAGAAGATCTAACGATCTCTAGAAAATACCTGAATTGGATATTCATAAAATGTTGAAATATCTAGTCCTCCCAATTAGGATTCTACCCATGTTCTTTTCTAGAATTCTCAATTTCTCCTGTATCTCTACCCCCAGTATTTAGCATTTTGTGTATGCTTACTCATTGGACTCTTTGGAAATGATTACTCTCTGAGACTTGTGAGTGATGGTGATAAAATATGTGCAAAACTGTTTATCTTTGTAACAGTTGTGCCATTTGGGCTGCAAAAGGAATAAGACTTAGGGAATGAGATTGCTATTAGTTATTCCTATTACAGTATGGAGTAAAATGTTCTGTTTTCCAAGGTATTCTGATCCCCATGGTGGAAACAAAGAAAGAACAAAGAACAATCGATCTAGTGAGGTTAGTCTCCCAGGAGCAATTATCAAAGATGTTACTGAGGGGCTTATTAAAATAATTAAATCCACAGATTATTATTCCTTTTCTATTCCCCATCCATGACACCACAAAGACCTTGAAAACAATATCAAGAGACTATGAACAACTAGGCATGAAAGTCAAAGAAATGAGTGCCTAGGTGGTGTTCTCACACCTAGTGAAGATGTGCAGGACTTTTGAAACAAACCATTTGGGATGGTGCTATCAAGAGAACTTTGGATTCTTACACCCATGGACTACAATACCTCATTTCTGGCAGGGAATGAGTTACACCTCACAAGAACTGGGAAGAATAGCTTAGAAACCAATTGCCTTTCCTTATCCATAGGACTTTAAACTAAAACTGGAAGCAGAGGGAGACAAACTTTTAGAAGCTAATTCCAAGCACAAAGCTCAAATCAACCAAATGTTTTTAAAAAGGGGGAACTCAGACACAAAACAGGAGTAGAAAATAAACACAGCATTAGTTATAAAGGACTCTGATGCCTGTACACTAATACTCAAAGTATGAGGAACAAACAGAATGAATTTGAAATTCTAGTATAGAAGGCAGACGTGACATCACTACCATTACAAAACTTGGTGGGGTGAAATTCATGACTGGAATGTATAGCTAGAAGGATTTAAACTGTTCAAAAGAAACAGACCTAATAAAAGAGGAGGTGGAGTTGCACTATATATAAGAAATAACTACACTTCTATAGAAATGCAAGACAACAGTGATGAAAAACTTCTTGAAACCATTTGGATCAATATAAAAGGAAAAAGGAATGACATTGCCATAAGTGTATATAGTAATACACTATTACTAGTGAATACTAACCAAAGAGAGGAAATAAAAGAACTGTTTGATAATCAGTTAGCTACTGGAACTATATAAAGACCTAATTCATAAGCTACAACCACTAATAGCACATGACCTTGTTTCTCAGTTAAGAGGCCTTGCAATTGCTTCCAAAGCATGGTTTGACAAGGACTGTGTAGAAGCCAAGAAAGACCTTAGCATATAAAATGCACAAAACTGAGGCTGGAAATGGCAGTAAAACAACTCTTAAAGATCTCACACTTACCACTGGAAAGCATTTTTGCTTGCAAGGTGCCATGCGCTTCCATTGGCTATCCTGCATGGCAAATATAAAAAGATACCATTGATTGAAAGATTCTGTGGCTCAGAAAAAGTGGGTCAGGAGAGATGAGAACAGTTGGACATACATTCCTTTGAAGTTCATTTTATAGAGATATTAAAAAACATGTTCTCCCAATAATCAATAGATATCCTGGCTATTCCAGCACTACTTATCTCCAGTGGCTGCTTAAGAATGAACAGACTGTGATTATGTGCAGGTGGTTAGATTCTGTGCAGCAGCACTGGGAATTTGTCGGAAACACATAATTAATTCATCAGAGCTATTTTATACAATGCAGCGAACCCTTTTGCATTACTACTCTTTTGCATTTTAGTATTTAATGACTGCAAGCCTCACAGTTTAAGGATTGCTATTATGGTATAATTAGGCCATGTTGTGTTTTGCTCATGTGTGACAGATTGGATACCAAATTGTGATTTTAATATTGATTTTATCTGATATTTATTATTTTATTCTAGAATGTTTAACTGGATATTCCTTCAGTGTTTTGAACTTGCTCTGGTTTTTGGTTTCTAACTTGTAGTTAGCCATTACTTAATATTGCACACCACAATATTAATGGGGGACTTTGACTACCCTGACATCAGCTGAGAGACAAACTCTGTACCTACTGGAAAACCAAACGTATTCCTGATGAACTTAGCACACAATTTTGTCTTCCAAAAGATAGAGAAGGGGACTAGAGAGTCAACCAACTTAATTCTCACTAACAGAGATGAAATGATAGAAGGGATTGAAGTTAAAGGAACTTGGGGGTGGGCGAGCAGCCATGCAATATTGGAATTTATTGCAAGCTCAGGCAATGGAGCAAAATCAAAGAGTCTTGAACGTTAAGAAAGCTGATTTCAACAAAGAGTGCTTGGGAAGGATTCCAGGGATGGAAATCTTTATGGAAAAACAATTCAAGAAATTTGGGAAACTTTAAAAAGTGAAATTATAAAAACTTAATCTAGCACAATACTACTGGTTGCATAAAAAACTTTCTGATAAAAGGACAAATATAAAAAGTAGAAAGGGGGGCATATAACTAAGGTAGAATATCAACAGATAACCCAAAACTGCAAAGATGAAAACTAAAGCTTAGAATGAAGGCTGGGAGGATCTTGGAAAAAGATAAGCAATGAATCTGCAAACACCTAGAGACAAACAAAGTTATAACCAAAAGTCTATATTTTGTCAAAAATAGATCAGACAAAACTTACTACACTTTTTGACAATGCTGTAGACATCATTTACTTAGATTTTAGTAAGGCATTTGATAAAGTAGACCACAATCTTCTCTTTTGTAATATAGAAAAAATTGAGCTAGACAACATCATCAGATGAATTCATAAGTGGCTGACTAACCACACTCAATATGTAGTTGTTAATGGAACCCATATCTACATAGAGGAAAGTATGTAGGAGAGTACCTACAGTACCCAGTACTCTTCAATGTCTTCATAAATGATCTAAATGAGGGAATAGAAGGGGAACTCATCAAATTTGCAGACAACACTAAGCTGGCAGGAATAGCCAATACTTCAAAAGATAGGCTCAAGTTCTAGAAGGAACTTAACAAACTTGAACACTGAGCTTTATCCAGCAAAATGAAATCCATTGGTGAGAAAAGTAAGGTTTTACACCTAGACAAAAAAAACCCAAACGTACGAGTGTAAAATAGGTGGTACTTAGCTCAACAGTAGTAACTGTGAAAGGGATCTTGGAGTTGTAGTGGACAATTATTAAATAGGAGCCAGTAGTGTGCTGCAACTGCCAAAAAAGCCAAAACAGTTCTATGCTGCATTAACAAAAAGATAGAATCAAGATCATGTGAAGTGTTAATATCATTTTATAAAGCCTAAGTAAGATCACACATGGAATACTGCATCCAGTTTTGGTCATCAAAATATAAAAAAGATGTTTATTTCTATTTTTTTTGAGGGTGCAAGGAAGAGCAACAAAAACTGCTCTTAAGGGACTGCAAGGTAAAACATATGAAGAACAGTTGCAGAAATTGGATATGTCTAGTCTAATGAAAAGAAGGACTAAGGGTAACATGTTACTAGTGTTCCAATATCTAAAGGCTGCCACAAAGAAGACAGGGTCAACTATTCTCAAAAGTACCTTAAGGCAGGATAAGAAGCAATGGATGGAAACTAATCAGGGAGAGATCCAACTTAGAAATAAGGAAAAATTTCCTAACAGTGAAAATAATGAATCAGTAAAACTGTTAGCTTTCAGGAATTATGGGTGTTCCATCACTGGAGATTTTTAAAGAAGAGATTGGGCAACCATTTATCTGAAATGGTACAGGGTCTCCTGCTTGAACGGGGTTGGACTAAAAGACCTGAAAGGTCTTTCCAGTCCTGTAATTCTGTTAAGTGAGGTTTGTATAAAGCCAAGCCCTAAACAGCTAATTGGAAGTTTAACTGTGCCTCCATATAACTAAGGTCTAGAAATATTTTTTTCTGATTTAAACAGGGCAATTAAAGGATATGATCAGTTCACTTAATCCAGACATGTCAAACACAAGGTCTGGGGGCCGGATGCGGCCCGCGACGTGGTTTCATGTGGCCCGCAAAGCCATCCTGGAAACAGTGAGGGAATGGCCCCTGCTGCCTTGGCCCTGGCCCAGGCCGCCCAGGAGCCAATGTACAATTTTGTGGTGGCCATCTATGCTGAAAAGTGTTCAGTCTTAGCTCCACGAGGCTGTCTGGAAACAGCAAGGGACCGGTCCCTGCTGCATTGGCCCTGTTCCCTGGGCACGCGCTGGGGAGGTGTCACCCTTTGTGAGGAATGAATAAATGCACCATGGCCTGGAAATGGCCCGCAAATGGCCCTTGCCTACTTCACATATCCGGCTTGATGGGCTCTGGGGGAAGGGTTTCAGCAGGCAGTGGGGCGCTGTCCTCATAGCGCCACGAGGCTGAGCCAGGCGGCGTGAATCCAAAAAGAAGCTCACCGCTATCCGATTTCAGCAGGCAGCAAGATGCAAAGCTAGCGAGCTTCGCACTGCCTGGCTCAGCCTCTCAGCGCTGTGAGGAGAGTGTCCCGCTGCCTGCCAAAACCGGGCAGGCTGGGGGCTGGATGGCATTGCGCAGGTAGTGTCGACTCTCACGTTGCTCAAGGTGTCCCCTCCCCCAAAGCCCACCAAGCCAGATATGTGAAGTAGGCGAGGGCCATGTGCTGGCCACTTCCAGGCGATGGTGCATTTCTTCATTCCCCATGAAAGGTGATACCTCCCCAGCTGTGTTTCTTGCCTGTTTTTCTCCCTCATATTTTCCCACCACTCTGTTCTTAGGAAGGAAGGGAGGGAGGGAGGGTGGGTGGGTCTGAGGGAAATCCTGCCTTAGTCCTGTCCTGCTGCCCTTTCACCATCCCCTTGCCGCCTTCTCCTGGCCTATCCTGGGGATCTCCCATCCTATTGCTAAGGAAGCTTTGGATACAAAGCCAGATCTCCTCCCATGGAGAGGGAGTGGGCCTCCCGCTGACTTTGCCCTCATACCCATCATGAGCAACCTGACTAAGGAGAGCAAGCACAGCAGCAGCAGCCTTGAGGAGGTAAGTGCAGCTGAGTGCCCCCTTGGGGAAGTGGGGCTGGGCTTGGTGCCGTGGGTGCTTGAGGGCCAGGCTGTGTGTTTGATCTCTGCTGCCCAGGGCTCCGGGAAGCCCGCAGCACCATCCAGCCCCCCCTTGCATGGCCTGAGAGGAACAGTGAGGCTCTTCCAGTGGACCATGCCTTGGCATTTGCCCCAGGCCCACCCCCTTCTGCCAGAGACCTTCAGATCTGTCCCACTCCTGTCCAGGCCCCCACAGACAACCTTGATGCGAATGATAAAGAGCTGGCCATGCCCACCCAGTAGGCCACACCCACTCCAGCCATGCCCACCCAGTAGGCCACACCCTCCCTGACCATACCTACCTGGCTCCCCGAGGACAACCGCAGTGCTGATGCGGCCCTCAATGAAATTGAGTTTGACACCCCTGACTGCTGAAGATCTTAGGCTATGATTTACTATAATTCAGTATTGAACAACAGAATTCTCTTTGTGATTAAAAATGTACATTTGGTAGTTGTGAGAAATGATTAATTTTGGCTCAAAATGTTATATTGGAAATTAATAAACTTACACTGCAGTTTGTTATTTCAACCAATTATCTCTCAATAAAGATTTAGAAAGCAATACCATGTATGTTTATTTGGTGTAAGCCTTATTGATGCTGTGTGGATCACTTTCTAGTAAATACATTCGGATTGCAGCCTAATATCTAAATGTATTTATTTTCTAGCAAGGAAATATGACCACCAGCAGCAACCACAGAAACAGACTGATAGTGTACAGCTTTTGGTGGAATGAAGTTTTGAATATTTGCTGAGGATGCCAGAGCATTGATGATAATCATTTGCAGTGCAACTTTAATGGTATATAATATTTTTTAAAATGTGCACTAATTGCATAAACTATGTTTTGACTATGAATTTGTGTGTTACTCTAATAATAGTTCTCTAACATCTGAAAAATATAGTAATCTATTCCAGTCTTATTTCTTAATTTGTATTCATTCCCAATAAAAATATGAGCATGGAGATGATCACTGCAGTTCCTGCAGTTGTTTCAAGTCTTCATTTAAAGAGGGATAGAGGCACATACTATTTGATGTGGCATAATGCTGCAAGTAATTCAACTACTTCTATAAATGAACAGTTTCATGTAGTGGGACTTTTAATAAACACTGCACTCAGTGAGGCAGATATATTGAATTGTAATGTGCAACTGAATATGCATAAAAAGATGAAAAGTTTAGGAAAAGTATTTCTGTATACAGCAATTAGAACAGAAATTAGAGTAAGGAACAAACAGTTCATTCTATCAGTATGATGAAAAAGAATATTTTTGCACTTATCCTTTTAATTGTTTCCCTTTTATTCTCTCTATTGAATTCTGAAATTATAATTTAAGAAATCTTCATCTGATAAATGACTATACACTGTAGTAGTAGTTGTAGTATTTTATGAGTGGGGTGCAACTTACCATTTTAGACCTACAGCTGGAATGCTAAAAGAGGATTATATAAGTTGGAATTCAGATAACAGCACTATTTTTGACTTATAATGGATAAATATTAATTATTTGTTGGTTTATCAAACACATCAAGCAAAATTAACAGTGGAAATAGAAAATCATTAAATGCTTAAATATTTGCAGTATATTTTATTTGGGCATGTCTGAAAGGTTTTAATTGATTGAATTTTAATTTACATCTTAAACATGGACAATATTTTTTTCAATAATAGACAATAATTTTGGTTATTAAATGGCCAGTTCTCTCTCTCCTAATGTCTTTGTAAGTTTAACTTCTGAATATAGCAACAGTTGCTAAATTTTGCAACCACTAATTCCAATTCTGAGATTCTTTGGGTACAGCACTAAAATAATTGTTACTCCAAAAGGCGATTGACCAATTAGATTGCAGAAAGTTAGAGTAATATATTTTTTCCTACTGTTTTGATTAGTACCATGTAATTATTCTTATGAGGATTTCTTTCTGTATTCTTTTGTAGTACAGTCCAGATGATTTAAATCTGAATATAAGCTTTATGCTTATACTAGTGTAATCATAAAAGATGCCTGTCATACTATTAAGAAATGATGCTCACATTTGAAGTTGCAAGAATTGTCCCTCATTTGCACTGATTACTGTAAGGTATTAACTTTATGAGCCATCTGAACAATGTAGTAGAAATAGAAGACAAGTGAGATAAATACATTTCTCATGGTTGACCTGATCTGTACACCTTGCTAAGTTATGGTGTTTGTTTTTCTAGTTGTCTTTGAGTTATGTCAAAATACATCCTGTATTTTATTAAAGTACATCCTGTTATGTTCTGTATGTGATATATTTGAAAATAACACCACTTTCCTTGTACCATTAAATCTGTTAAATACCACAATGTTAGCTGTGAGTTTTTGTGAAAGACTTCATGACCCTTGTATATAAAATATTTTTTACAAAAATAAAAATATTTAAAATGTGATACGTGTGAAATGTATTTCTCAGTACAGATAATATTATGGGAATTGCTATGCATAATTTTATTTCATTACATTTTTCTGTTGATATATTAATAATTATTAGCCAGACACCTGATTTGGTGAAATCTTTGCAAGTGTTAAATAGACAAGTTTTTCCTTTACTGGACTTTCACAAGTTTTTAGTTAGTATATACACTGTACATTTGAAAAATTCAAGACTTACATAACAATTGTATTATATGCCTTCTCATATAACAAATTGGAAAAGCATCAGGAGACAATTGTTCATTTTTTCCAGCAGGAACAGTTGCACTATTCTTTATATGAAATTTATAAATTTATATGAAGAGTAAGAGGAGAAACATCTGAACTATTGAAGGAACTGATGCTGTCACCTCAATAAAAAGAGTACTGTCTTTTTAAAGTTAAGGCAGGCTGCATTCCTATGAAATGAATGACAATAGTTTTTGATTTGTTTTTTGTTTTTAGTCTTTAGCTAAAAACTATTTTTACCATTTCCAGAAAACATTGTTAAACTTAATGGAACAGAACTGGGGAGTAGAAACTTAAATCCAATATTTTTCTCTAGGATTTGTTACAATGTTAGGGTTTAAAAATATCAAAAGAAAAATCCAACAATATAGCTGGGATTAGTAACGAATTAACATACAAATTTCCAACAATTTGCATGCAGGTTTCGCCATTACAGCAATAGCTTTATCCTTCCCAAATCACCTTGCTGAATTATAATAATAATTATTATTATTATTATTATTGTTTATTCAACTCAGTGCCCATTTCCTCAATGCTGATGACAAAGGATATCTTTTTTTTTTTTTTTTTTTAGAAAAGAAATGGTTGCAAAACTGGACTGGTGGGCTTATGGTAAAATAATACTCTTCAACTTGGATGACCCTGCTCTTAAATCGAGAGAAGAGTTAGAATCAAAAGGTTATGCCTGTCATTGGTTTACATATCAACAACTGAAAGAGAGATTTAAATTAGATAAAAAGTTATGGGCTTGACTTCATTAAAAATGAATTTGAAACATCATTGTGAGGTAGTGATGAACTTATTGCTGAAGTTTATAAAATGCTATTGAAATTGAATTTGGAAAATGAACATAAAAACATTGTATGTACAGTGGGCAAGAAATTTGGATATAATGTGATGCTGGAACAATCGGAGAATATATGGATGTAAAGCTTAAAATTTACATTGAATTACAATTTAAAAGAAAACTTTTATAAAATGATGTATCATTGATATTTAACACCTAATAAGCTATCTAGAATGTACAAAGATATTTCAAATGAATGCTGGAGATGTAAATGTAAAGAAGGGACCTTTTATCACTTATGGTGGACATGTGATAAAGCAAAGAAATGTTAAAGAAGGATTCATATTTTAATACAAAAAATCCTTAAAGTAAAGATAAAGATGAAATCAGAAATTTTTCTTTTGGGTTTAATAGAAAAAGACTTGGAAATTTTTTTGGGAACTTTGATCTTGTATATGTTGACGGCAGTAAGACTACTGTATGCACAAAAATAGAAGGACATTTCAATTCCCATTATGGATTGAATGGCTACAGAAGTTGATGGAGTTGGCGGAGATGGCTAAGTTGTCTGTTTTGATTAAAGAAAAGAATATAAACACTTGCATTCAAACTACCCAGGGCTTGCTGGGATTTGCTATAACTGTAAGTTTTATCAGGGGTGCAGCTCAAAACATAGCGGAGGCCTTGCTGATTGGATCTATTGCATTCAAACTACCCAGTGCTTGCCGGGATTTGCTCAAAACGTAGCGGCCTGTGTGCCTAATTGCGTGCGAATTATATAACTAAAAATCAAAACAGCAGCGGTACAGTTAGGGCAAGTGCATCTGAGATTCCTTATATCTAAGAATGTCTGGCATGGTTCAGTGCAACACTTGTTTTGCAGCTGTTTTTCGCAGTACCCTTTTCAATCTTGGAAACTATCCTATCTGTAAACAAATCACTAGTCTACAAGGACAGATTATTTATCTAGGGTCTGTAATCTCTGCTCTTCAGGCAGAAACTAGGTGTCCGGTTCAGCCCTTCTACTCCATTGAGCCTCCGCGCTATCAGCCCCCTCTACCACAAAGATCCTGCAGGAGAAGGGCAGTGTGGACAACCGTGGGATCTGGCAGGGTGAGAGCTGTGAACCACAAACACAAAGCTTTCAGTGTGTCCCTGCACAACAGATACAGTGCCCTTGCTGACCTTAATAGGGACATTAAGGAGACAGGTAAAAGTATTTGTGATGATAACTCAGATAAGCAGGGGATCTTGGTCCAAGATGAAGAACTTGTTTTCGACAGGGAGAAGTGCAAATCAGGTATTACACATCAGTCATGCAAGAACAGAAAGGCATCCAAAAAGAGAAGCCACCTTCTGGTGGGACCTATGCAAGCCAGTTTGGGAGGAGCAAAATATGCACTGGTAATTGTTGATTATAGCAGGTATAGTTTTTGCTACTTGCTTAGAGGAAAGAAAGAGGTGCTACAACAATTCAAACAGTGGGTAAGTTTTGTAGAGAGAAGGCACAGACAACAAGTGTGTCAGTTGCAAACTGACAGAGGTACTGAATTTATGTCAACTAAATTCCAACAATGGTTGGGGCAGTTGGGGAGAAGACACAGACGTACAAATCCTTACACAGCAGCAGAGAACGGTGTAGCTGAAAGAAGGAATGGTGTGTTGCAAACAATGAAAGATTCATTATTAGAAGATTCTGGTATGAGCAGGTCATATTGGGGAGAAGCCATATTGACTGCCAATTATATAGTTAACAGGCTGTGGAGTTCCTTCATTAATAATACTCCATATGCCATTCTATATGGGAGAAAGCCATCACTGGCACATTTGAGAATTTTTGAAAGTACTGCATGGGTACATATTCCAAAAGCAATCAGAAGAAAGAGACAGCAAAAGGCAAGAAAGCTCAGGTTTGTGGGCTATGAGCCAGGGTCAAAAGGATATCGCTTTAGCGATGGAGGTAAAAGAATTGTAATTTCAAGGTCTGCTAATTTTGCAGAACAAAATTGGGACAGAATTAATGCAAATTCTGGGTATGTCTCACTTAATGATGGTGATCTATTTAATGACAATAACTCATCTAATGATAAAAAATGATTATTGAAGATGTCAATGTTCAGGGAGGAGAGGCTGAACAAGACATGAAGCCAGATAGACTTGAGACACAGGAGCAGTTAATATCACGTAGGTCAGAGCGATGTAACAAAGGAATTCCGCCTGACAGGTATTCTGCCAGCAAAGTAAAGGTTTGCAATGTGTGGTATGAGCCAAGAAGTTATAAAGAGGTGTTGGCATTACCAAAAGCTGAACAAGAAAGATGGATAAAGAGATGAAATCCAAGGGAGACCATGAAGTATTTAAATCAGTGACTTTGCCACAGGGAACCAAAGCTGTGGGTTGTAAGTGGGTATATAAGAAAAAGGTATTGCCAAATAAGTATGTACAGTTGTTGCATGATTTAAATATTAATGTAAAAGATTCTGTAAAGGTATTTGAAGACAATGCTGCCTGTATAAAAATGGCAACTGGTGACTGGGTGAAGAACAGAAGTAAACATGTAGACATTAAGTATTGTAATGTCAAAGAAGCTGTAAAAGGAAAATTGATTAGTTTACATCACTGTTCTTATGAGGATAATTTGGCAGACATGATGACTAAACCATTTGGTGGTATTCACTATGGAGAATGTATTAAGTCAATAAGCCTGATGTCTCTTCCTGTCATGAAGGGAGGAGTGTTGGAATATTCATGAGCAGGAAGAGTCATGTGGTAACTCAGTCAGCCAATGTGAAGAAAATGCTACTGAGTCTGTGCAAAAAAGGTATTGAGTTAGAAGCTGAATTTTCAGTCTCAGGTTTGTCTCTGTATCTCTCTGTAAGAAGTCTTCAATTGAGCTATGTTGCTGTAAAGAAGAATGTATGGTATTGTAAATATTTTTATATGAATATAAAGAATCAGCTAAATGCAGTCAACTGTGAGAGCTTCTGATTTATTTTTTCACCAATAGAGAAATTAAAATTCTCTAACAGATCTCTGTGTGGACAAGAACATCAACCTTGCTGTCAAGCAAAATCAAGCTTCTAATAGCGAGCGCCACACAAAGTGCACTAACCAAACAGGTGGTAAGACAATGGAGGAACTCAAGCACCATACAGGTTATATAGAAAGTAAACACAGGGCCGGTCATAAAGGACTCAAATGTCTATACACCAATGCACAGAGTATGAACAGCAAACAGGGTGAACTAAAAATTCACATTAATGAGGGAAGATATGATATTGTTGCCATTACGGAAACATGATGGGATGAAACCCGCAAATGGAACACATACCTAGAGGGATTTAAATTATTTAAAAGAAACAGGCCAAATGAAAGAGGAGGTGGAGTTGCTCTCTATATAAGAAATAACGATATCTCTACAGAAATAGAGCACAACAATGATGAAAACTGTCTTGAATGCATTTGGGTCAATATAAAAGGGGGGAAAATGACATTGCCATAGGTGTATACTATAGGCCACCCAACCAAACAGAGGAAATAGATGAACTTTTTGCTAGTCAGCTAACTAAGGTATGTAGGAAGCACATCACAATAGTAATGAGGGACTTTAACTACCCTGACAGCAACTGGGAGACAAACTCTGCACCAAGTGGAAGATCAAACAGATTCCTGACAAACCTAGCAGACAACTTTGTCTCCCAAAAAGTTGAGAAGGGAACTAGGGGATTAGCCATTTTGGATCTAATTCTCACTAACAGAGATGAAATGATAGAAGGTGTTGAAGCCATAGGAACCTTGGGAGGAAGTGATCATGCAATATTGGAATTCAACATTATGGAAGCACAAGCACTAGAA